ATGCCGCGGCCAAAGCTGGCAGTCTCGCCGCCTCCGCCACCAGACCGGCCCGTGGCCGCGTTGGCCCCGCGGGCCCACCGCCGCCATGGCCGCCGTGGCCCCCCCATTGCCCCCGCCGCCGACGCTGTTGCCGCCGTTCTGCGAGCCGCCGCCAAAAGCTGCCGAGGAAGCCGCCGAGCCCATCGGAGCTCGAGGGCGAGAAGCCCGCCGACGCCTGCGACTGGCCCCGGCTGGCGTCGAAGCGGCCCAGGCCGGGAAACGCCGAAGAGGAGCCAAAGGGGTCCATGCCGTCAAACAGCCAGCCGTAGTCGGCCGTGTGATCGATGGTGGGCGGCGCAAAGGGGAAGATATCGTGGTTGGCGAGCGGTGGCATCGCCATGGACGCAGCCTGCCTGGGCGCACCGGACGTGCCTGCCGCTCCCGCTGCAGGCGCCCCCATGCCGACAGCCGACGACTGGTTGGCCGAGGCCACCGCTTGTCCCTCGTCGCCAGGGCCAGTGCCAGGACCGGCGCTGCCGCCGACATCGGCACCGGCGCCAGCTCCCGAGGCCTCTGGCCAGCCGGCATAGTAGGCGCCCGACGGTGGCGGCGCATAGCTTCCGCCCCCCTCGGCGCCGGCAGAGTGACCGACACCGCCCGCTCCACCTTCGCCGCTGCCGTCGCCGCCGAGGTCGTCTGGCCCGAGCCACCGGAACGACGTTGGGTCGCTGGCCGAGGCGCCCTCTGCCATTGTCCTGCCGACCGCCGTGGTTGTAGCCGAGGCCGGATACGCTCCGCTGTGCCAGGGCGCAGGCGGCGGCGGCGGGTGCCGGCTGCCGCTCCCGCCGTCCAGCTCGTCATAGGTCGGAGCCGAACTCGGGCCACGCCCGCTGCCGCCTGTGCTGCCGCTGCCGCCAGGGGGCCCCGCTGACCCTCCTGCCGCCAATGCACGGCCGCCGCCGCTGCTGCTGCTGCCGTCGTACGGCAAGAGATCGGCCGGTGACGGACCGCCGTTGCGGGTGGATGCGTCTCCATATACCGAGGCGAAGGGCATAGTGGTGCTCCTTCGGAATGGCGGAGATAGGGCGGTGGCCGACGAGGCCGAGGCGCCTGGCGGCGACCACTGCGATGCGGCTGGATCGTGCTGTGAATGCTGGTGAGGGGGGTGGTGATGGTGGTGCTGAGGGTGCGGGGGCGCGTGGTGGCTGGACATGGCGCCGGACGAAAGGTCCAGCGGATGGCCGGCTGCCTCATACCCGCCCGCCGCCGCCCAGCTCGAGGGCGAGGGTCCCGCGTCCGGTGGCAAGTCGCCATAGCTCGAGGGCCCCGGATATCGGCCAAAGCTGTCGTCAAAGTCGGCGCCGCCTTGCCCTGCAGCGGCAGCGGCGGCGTGCGGCGGATGCGGACCGAGTGCCGGGTCGAGGAACTCGTTCTCGGAGTCGGACGGCTCGTGCGACACCTTGGCCGCCTTTGAGGCTCTGCGGCTGGCCTTTGGACGCGAGGAAGAGGAGCCGGAGCCCTCGGCCTTGTCCTTTGCCTTGTTGGACCAGCGCCCGAGCGTCTTGCCCCGAAGGGCGTGGCGCTCGAGATGGCGCACCAGCAGATCCTGGCGCACGAAGCTGTGAAGATGGCGGCGGCGGCGGAGGGGGCGACGGGAGCAGGGAAAAGGGTCAGCGCGGTGACGGCGGCGGGGTTGGCGGCCAGCGACAGCGGGTGCAGGCCACTCACGTCCTGTCGCACTGGTTGCAGCAAAGCACACGGTCCACGTCGTGGTTGAGCTTGTGCCGCAAGAGGTGGTCGGGTCTCGAGTAGCTCTGTGAGGGCGACAGCATTCGCACGCGGGGGATGCAAGGCAGAGGGGAGGCGGGTTAAGCAGGACGTGGCGAAGACGGCCGGTGCTCTCTGCGTCGATGTCGGCGGTGCCTTACCTTGTCGCAGCCTGGTCGGTCGCAGGCGAACCTCTGGTCTGGCTGGGTCGAGTCCTTTTTGGCCATTTTTGGCTCTCGACTGCGGATGCGTGGGTATCACGAGATGGGTGCCGAGGGGCGTGCCCCACGACGGGGATTTGGGGCCGAGTGTGAGAGCGGCAGGCGGTACGCTTGCGCCGCCTAGCTGCGGACGAGGCGAGGCGGAGCAAGTGGCCGGCTGGCGAGGGGCGATGCGAAGCTGCTGCGACGGTGGTGGTTGTGGTGGTGTTTGGAGCTCGGAGCGTGGCCGTTGTTGGGAGAAGGAGCCGGTGGCGGTCGGGAGAGCCGAGATGAGCGGCTACGGCGTCGGTCGTATGCCGATGGCGGCCTGCCTCGCAGCCGGGTCGGGCGGCGGTGCGACGATGACGACCTATCGGGCGGGCTGGGCCGAGACCGCGTCAAGCTGCCTCGTAGGGATGGTGCCGCGTCGTCCCGTGGGCAGGGAGGTGTCGAGCGACGGGATGCAGACGCAATACAGCAGCTGCGGAGCAGTGAGATCAGAGCAGCGTCGTGGGTCGACGGAAAGCGCGGGCGTGCAGCAGGTATCCGATCGACGGAGGGGAGGGACGGGTACCGAGTCAGGCAGGCCGTCGAGCGGGGTTCGAGCGCGAAAGCGCGCACGTCGTCCAGACGGAGGTGGTGTGCGTGGGTGCGTGCGTGTGTGAGAGGTAGGTCGGAGCGCCCGCACGGCCCGTTCCGATGCAGTGCAGTGCAGAGCAGAGCAGGGCGAGGCAAAGGCGGCGCAGCGGCGAGGGCGCGGGGACGAGTCGAAACAATGGCGCGCGAGCTTGAAGGACGACGACGAAGAAGGCGGCAGCGGCAGCGGCGGCGGCAGCGGCGGCGGTAGAGGTGGTGGTGGTGGTGGTGGTGACGACGAGGCCGACCTCGTGTTGGCCGCGGCTGCGTGGTAGGTATGGGGGGGCCTCCGCAGGCCAGCTGGTCTGGCCGAGCGAGGGAGGGACGAGACTCAGGCTCACAACCTGCCCTAGCCTGTCCTGCCCAGCCCGACCTCGGGCAGGCCTGGCCAGGCTGGGGACTGACGCGGGGCCTCCGCGTTTCTCTTTGGCCCAGCCAGCCTGCCCTGCCCTGGCCTGGCCTGGCCTCTGAGCCCGGTCGTCTGGCAGGCTGGCTGGCCTGGCCCGCGTGCCGAGCCGAGCGAGCTCTCTGGCGCAGCAGAGCCAAGGGCCGGCCACAAGGGCGCAGATAGAGGTGGGGGGACTGGGGAGCAGGCGCAGAGTGGCCTGGCCTGACCTCTCCTCGAGCGCCAGAGCCAGAGCCAGAGCCACAAGGCGGGGCTGCCTGCCTCCCTGGCTTCGCTGGCTAGCTGGCGGAGGGTCAGCTGGGTACGGCAGGCAGCAGCAGCCCGCCGCGGCGAGGCAGGTGGAAAAATGGACGTGGGCGCGTCCCCGGCCAAGTCGTCGGTGCGTGTTTTCAGCTGGCAGGGCAGGCTGGGCCACGTTTTCTCGCCCGAGTGAGGCCGGAGCGGCGAAGCGGCGTCACTGCCTCGACGCGCCATCCAAGCCGGGGCAATCATGAGGTCGGGATATCGAGCGGCATAGGTTGCGGTTTCTACAAGTACACGAGGAGTTACAGAGTCGAGGATATGGAGAGACAGAGAGAGAGAGAGAGAGACAGAGAGAGAGAGAGCGATAGAGAAAGAGTGAGATCCGTCCGGGATCGCTCGGCGGAGCGGATCAGGGGGGGTCAGGCAGCGACCGCCGTCCGACTCGCCGCCGTCGCCGCGCCCGCCGTCGAGGTCGACGTCGTCTTGCGACCCCCCCTCCTCCCCTCCTTTTCCTTCTGCTTCGCGCCTCCTCCTCCCGCCGCCGTGGTCGACGCCGAGGAAGACGCGGCGATGGTCGAGGCCGTGGTGCGGTTGGCGTTGACGGTGCGCTCGACGAGGCTGGTGCCGTCGCGGAAGCGCGCGCGGAAGAGGACGTTGGCGTTGGTAAAGAGGCCCTCTTTGAGCGAGACGACGATAAACTGCGAGCCGCGGAAGCGGTTGCGGAAGAGCTGGCCGATGTGCTGCGTGTGCGACAGGTCGAGCGCCGCGTCAATCTCGTCGAGGATGTACATGGGCGCCGGCTTGAACTGCAGCAGCGACATGATGAGCGAGAGCGCAATCAGCGAGCTGTGCGTTGGGCGGCGGCCGAGGCGGGATCGCAAAAGTGCCGCGGGGGCGCAGAGAAGAAGGAATGAGGGTGGAAGACGGTCAGCATCGCAGCTCGCGCACGCACACGACGACGACGACCACCGACGACTTCGGCAATACGCACCGCTGTCCACCGCTCAGCTCCGTCAGGCTCTGCTTCCACACGGTGCCCAGCCGGACCTTGACCTCGAGGCCCTGCGTCAGCTCCTGGCCCTCGGGCGGCTGCAGCTTCGAGTAGTTGCCAGGAAGCAGCTCGGCAAAAATGTCTCCAAAGTCGCTGCTCGCAGAGCGATGGTGGCCGAGGACCAGTAGTGTCAGTGCCAGTACCGGAGACAGGGCCGTGCCGTCGGGCAACGAGGCCACACCACCACTCACGCGTTGACCTTCTCCCACGTCGTCTGCAGCGCGTCCTTCTTGTACCGGTCCAGCTCCTCGATGGTCTGCTCAATCTTGCTCTTGTCCTTGAGCACCGTCGAGAGCATCTGCGTCAGCGCCGTCTCCTTTTTCTCGACGCTACAAGGTCGGGCGGCGGAGGAGGCGCGCGAGACAGGGACCAGGGCGACGAGGGATGCCGTGGGGTCAGCGAGCGTTCTCGAGCGTCCGCCCCTCCGACAAAGGGCGCCCGCAAGGAAGGAGGGACGACCACGCACCTGTCAATCATGTTCATGACCTTGGGGTTGACCTTCTTGCGCATCCCCTGCTGCTGCTCCTCGAGCTTCTTGCAGCGCTTGCGCACCTCGCCCATGTTGTGCTTGCCAAAGTCGTAGGCGGTGCCCGCCTGCCCAAAGAAGCGGTTCTCGCTGACGATCCACTCAAACTGCTGCTCGAGCTGCTTGACGCCCTTTTCCAGCGCGCTGCAGTCCTGCTGCATCTTTTCAATCTCGTGGCTCAGCTGCTTGATCGACAGCTGGCCGTCGGCCACCTCCTGCTTCTTGTCCTTGGCCGCCGCGCGCAGCGTCGACAGCTCCGAGTCGTACGCCGAAAGCGTCGCGCGCTCCTCGGTCAGCTCCTCCTCGGTCGCCTCGACCTGGGACTGCAAGGATCGTTGGCCAATAAGAAAGGATGGACAACAAGCGAGCAAGCGAGAAGATTCGGCAGCGACGTTAGCTCACGTCCGGATCTCCAACACGCACATCGACGCAGGCCACCCGAGGACGCCTTGCGCCACTCACCTGGACCTTCTCGAGCCCCTTCTGCATCTCCTCGAGCTCGCGCTCGACGGCCTTGAGCGCCTTGGCGCCGTCGCGCACGCCGCCCTCGGCGCTCACCACCTCGGCCTTGAGCTGCTCGAGCTCGAGCTCGGTGGTGCGCACCTCGTTCTGCCGTGCCTTGATCTGGCCCGAGCGCTTCTGCACCTCGCCCTTTTTGCGCTTGATCTCGGCCTTGAGCTCGTCGAGCTTCGAATCCTTGTTGCGCTCAAAGTCCTCCATCTCCCGCTCCAGCCGCTTGGCCTCCTGCGACGCCTCGCGCTGCCGCTTCTTGGCCTCCTCGATCGTTGTCCGCAGCTCGGCGATCGACGTCTTGCACGACTCGACCTCCGAGAGAATCTGCGCCGGGGAGGATCAGTGCAAAGATTGAGGAACAGTAGGGCAGGGTTCAGGGGGGCAACGGGGCAAGGGTCAGCGCTGCGGGCGACCCAGGACACACAGGCGACCGGCTGGCGCCGACGGGCCAAACTCACCCTGGTGGCATTGCTGCCGTTGACCTGACCCTCGAGCAGGCCCACCTGGTGCCGCTTCAGGTCGAGCTCGCGCTTGACCTTGGCGAAGCGCGCCATCTTTTCCTGGGCCTGGCGGATCTCGCCCTCGCACTCGGCGAGGCGGGCGCGCGCCTCGGCCAGCTGGCGCTCGATGCGCAGCAGCTCCTGCATGCGCACCAGGACGTTGCCGCTGTTGGGCTTGCTGCCGCCGCTCAGCGTGCCCGCGGGGTCGTAGACGTCGCCGTCGAGCGTGACGCTCTTCATGCGCACCGCATTGTCAAACGTCACCCGCTTGGCCGTGGCGGCGTCGTGGCAGATGAGCGTGTTGCCAAAGACGTACTCCATGGCGCGCGTCACCTCGTCGTCGTAGCCGACCAGCGACAGGGCGAGGTCGACCTTGCCCGGCGCCAGCTTCTGGGCGGCGCCCACCTTCTGCGCCGACGCGACAAAGGCGTTGATCTTGTTGAGCGGGATCAGCGTGACGCGCTTCTTGAGGCGGCCGTTGGCGAGCAGCTTGCTGCCCACCGTCTCGTCCTCGACGACGACGTTGTAGAGGCGGCCGCCGGCGCAGATCTCGAGCGCCGTCGAGTAGCGGTGGTTGCGCTCGTCGAGCTCGATCAGCGACGCCACCAGGCCCTTGACGCGCGAGCGGTCGAACCCGGGCTCTGGGTCGGCGTACTGGAAGTCCATGCCCGCCAGCTGCGACTTGAGACGGTCGCGCCGCTCGAGGAGCTCGGCCACCTGCTTGCTCAGGTCGGCCTTGGACGTCAGCAGCGCCCGCTCGCTCTCCTCGTCCCAGCCCGCCTGGCCGATCTGGGTCTGGAGCTCCGCGACGCTGGCGCGCGCCGCCTCGAGCTCGCGCACCAGGCCGGCGCCCTCCCGCTCCGCCTTTTTGGCCAGCAGCTCCTTCTGCTTGAGCTCCTTCTCCAGGTGGCCGATCCGCAACCGCGCCTGCTCCATCTCGGTGCCTGCGCTCGACTCTTGCGCCCGCGCCGCCGCCAGCTGGCCCATGTAGCCTCCGGATGCGCCGCCGCCGTTGTTGTTGTCGCCGTTTTGCTCGGTGGCGCCGTTGCCGCTGCTGGCCATGCCCGTGAGGAGCGTCTGGAGCAGCTCGTCCTGCTTGTTGAGGTCGGCCACGGATGCGTCATAGTCGGCCTTGAGCGTGCCGAACGACGCCGAGAGCTGCTCGAGGGCGCGCTGCTTGTCGTCGAGCGTGGTTCGCATCGCCTCGAGCGCCGCTTGGTCCGACTGGAGCTTCTTGGCCTCGTCGTCGACCGACGACACCTTAAAGTCGACCGAAGTGCGCTGCTTGACGAGGTCGTGCTGGAGCGCCTTGCTGCGCTCGACGAGCTCCTGGAGGCGGCCGCCCTTGGTCATCTCGCGCTCGCGCTTGCGCTCGATGTCGGCCAGCTCGCGCTCGATGCCGTCGATCTGGCGGGCGAGCGCCTTGGCCTCGCCTTCGCGCTCGTCGACCTGGCGGCGCTTTGCGGCGACGGCCTCGCGCTTCTCCTCGAAGCGGGCGCAGAGCGACTGCCACTCGTGGGCCTTTGCGAGGCGGGTGAGGCGGTCGAGCTCGGTCGAGGCCTTTTGGTACTCGAGAAAGGACCGCTTCTCCTCGCGCAGCTTGTCGAGCTTGGGCGTGATCTCCTCCTCGAGGAGCGCCGTGATCTCCTTGACCTTTTGGTCCTTTTTGGCCATCGTCTTGATGGCCTTGTCCTTGCGGTCCTCGAACATGCGGGTGCCGGCGGCCTCCTCGATCATCGAGAGGATCTCGGCGGGCTTCATGTTGAGCACCTTTGTGATCTTGCCCTGCATGATGAGGAAGTTGGGGTTGTTGATGTTGAGCTGGACGCTCTGGAACATGTTCTGTACGGCCTGCTGGGTGGCCTTGTGGCCGTTGATGAGGTACTTTGAGAGGCCGCCCATGGCAATCTGGCGGGTGACGGTGATCTGCGGGTAGTTTTCAAACGACACGGGCGAGCGCTGGCGGTCCAAGTTGTCAAAGACGATGGTGACCGAGGCCTTTGTGATGCCGGCCTGTCCGCGCTTGTAGATGAGGTCCTGGAGGTTGTTGGCGCGCACGGCCGAGAGGTTGGTGATGCCGAGGACAAAGCAGATGGAGTCGAGGATGTTGCTCTTGCCGCTGCCGTTGAGGCCCGTGATGGCATTGAAGCTCGAGTCAAAGCCCGAGACGTGCGTCCGGACCGGGTAGCTGGCGGCGGGGGTGGTCGTGCGGGGCAGACGAAGGACGAATTGATCAGCATCAGCCCTTCTCGCAGCACAAAGGCGCCCTCGCCAGACGAGGGGAGGGAGAGGGAACCAGCGCCAGACTCACCTCTTGAAGCCGTCGATGATGAGCTCCTCGATCCTCATGATGGGCCAGCGTCCTCAATCCCGGGTTGGGATGCGCAGCAGCTTCCCCTGTCGGTGGAGCGGAGCGGAGGGTAACGAGGAGGAGGGAGGGAGAGAAGAAGAAGAGAGAGAGAGAGAGAGAGACGAGGACGCCCGAGCAACCGCAAGGTGCCTGCACCGAGGCCGGGACGAGGTTGGTCTGCGGGTCTTTTGTCTTGATGCCGGAAGCGGGTGTGTGTCCAGGCGACACAAAGGTGATGGGTGGCACTTGACGAAGGTGGTGGCGGTGGTGTTGGTGTTGGTGTTGGTGTCGGTGGTGGTGATGGTGGAGGTCGTCGACAGAGGCACGTCTGGCCCGGCGGAGCGAGCGAGCGAGCGGGCGAGCGAGGGAAAACAAACACCGCGCCGCGCCCGCTTCTTGCCTTGGCTTGCCTTGCCTCGCCCGTCCCGCCCGCCTCACCCTGCATGCAACCCGGGCTGGCCTTTGTCGGTCGGTGTTGGTCTGGTCTGGCAGCTGGCCTCGCGCCTCGAGCGAGCACGGGCGTGGGCGCGGGCGC